ACGTAATCGATACTTTCAAAGACTACGGCCTTTGAGCCCCACACAGTAAGTAATCTGTGCTCAGGTTTCCACCGATCTGTTGAAGAAGTAGGCTGTCTCACCACTGAGGGCAACCTAAATAAAATCCAGACTGGAATGCACCAGGCTTGCCGATGCGATCATGCGTTTTCGCACCAAACTTAAAGTATTCAGGTCGCTAAACAACATGAATGGTTTTTGCTTTACACCTACCTTTTGGACTCGCCAGCGTAAATCATCGTAAATTTTGCATAAAGGTAATGAATTATTTCTATTTAATGGTCGTTCTTTGAAAATGACCTAGCTCCAGCGAGCGACTTCCTGCCAAAAATTTTTAAGTGTCCGTATGTGAGAATCACGAATACTTGGAGGCTGAGCTTGAAACATTTAAGCTGTACCTGGACAGGGGGTATCCTCTTAAAATTTAAGCTTTCTAGCTTTTTTAGTTAGTTATGTTCTCGCCAAAACCTTCATGTGCCTGTACGTGAGTACCACGCGTATAGGGGCTGTATTTGAAATCCTCAAGTTCTACTTGGAGGGGGAATATACCCTTTAAGTTTAAGCCTTCCAGATTTTCTGATTGCCGAGTCAGTAATTTTTACGACAAGCTTTCTCGCACACGTGCTTGAAAACCACGCACACATAAAGGCTGAATTTGAAATCTTTAGCTTAAACATGCACAAGGAATGCTCCTTCAAAGACTCAGCTCTCTATTCCTTCTGATTCTCGAGACCGATTTCCAGTCAAAAAATTTGCATGCTTTTTTAAGGAGTCCGTACGGTACCCAGGCGTAAGCGAGTAATGATGTTAAAATGAGTTCGCACATGGTGTAGGTACATACCCCTGAAGTTTCAGCTTCCTAACATTTCTAGTTCTTGAGTTGAAAGGGGATGACAAAAAGCGCGAACACAGGCACAGACAAACACACACACAGAGAGAGAGAGAGAAATTCGTTTGCCAATATGCTTTTTTGCATTTGCATATATGCAAAAAGGCATAAAAATGAGGCGTCTCGCGCTTCTATCTAATTATTTTTTATGCGTTTTGTGCTCTGCAACAGCTGTACAAAACGCATATTGTGACGGGGTTGTCTGTGTATATGTGTGTGTGTGTACGTGTCTGCAGAAAGTTGTTTGCAATTTTCAACTCGAGAACCACACAAGCCAGGAAGCTTAAAATTTATAGGTATGTTCCACGCCTATGTGCGATCCCGCAAATTTAAATTCAGCCTTCCCTTGCCGCGTACGGCCCCGTAAAAGTTTTGACGGGCAAAATTATTGTTACGGGAACCACGGAAGCTAAAAGGCTGAAATTTTGTAAGCATGTCCCCTGTCCACGTGCGACCCTGAGAATTTAAATTCAGCCCTCTCCTGCCCCCAGCTAAAACGAAATTCCCCGTATAAAATTTCCCCCGAAATTCCCCGGCGGAGAAAATTATTATCTCGGGAAACACGAAAGCTAGAAGGCTGAAATTTACTGGGCCCGTCCTCTACCAGCACGCGACCAATCATATTTAAATTCAGCCTTCTCGTGCCAGCGGTATCGTGTACGGCCCGTAAGATTTTTGGCGGGGAAATCATTGTCTTGGGGACCATAAAATCTACGAAGCTGAAATTTTAGGGTAACAACCTTCTGCCTACGTATGACCTCGCAAATCCAGTTTCAGCGTTCTCGGGTATCACCTACGGCTCTGTGAAAATTTTGGCGGGTGATTTTCTTAGGAACCAGGGGATCTACAGAGCTAAATATTTAAGGCAATGACTCCCTGCCCACGCACGACCGTGTAAATTTAAATTCAACCTTCCCGCACGCCCCGTATCACTT